ATGTCACCGCATTATTTTGGTTCACAGCAAAAAGTCCAGTGTTGATTTAACTCCCACAGAGTTGATATTAACATTTTTTTGGAGTTTATATAGTCCACATTCTTATGTGTTAAATTAACACTTTCAAAATAGTTAAATTTTTAACACTGGATCAGAGTAAATTTTTAACTCACAAAACAGAGTTAAATTAACTCTGTTTGGGATGCAATGGTTAACACTGATAAAATAACAATTTTGTTTGTGTTAATTTAACACTTTCAAGTGCTAGAAATTTACTCCAAAATGTGTAACTTCATGATTCTGGTTAAAATGTATTATAATAAAGTAAAACTAAAACAAATAAATCAATTTTAAACAAATGTTTTATTTATGCAGCTGTGTTTCCAACATTTTAAACTGTTGTACAGTGAACAACATTCAATAGCATTCCATACAAGTTTTGAATATCAAAAAGCTTATAAAATTTTTGATCTGGGATTTTCAGAAGATATCTTTCACTATAAAAAAAAACCATGAAAATGAACAAAGGTCTCTGTAAATAGCTGTTTAGGTAACAAAGGAAAAAGTGATTGCCAATTAATAATATATTGCTTATCTTGCTCTTAAGTCCCCCACTCCAGGTCATTCCTTCATTTTGCCAACATCAATGTTATTCAATGCAAAAATTTATAAAAATTCATTAATGCAGGTTCATTAGAGATAGCACAAAATGTATTTTGAATAACTCATCAAATGCTGCAAGAAAGCAGTTTGTTTGGCATGGGATGAGTCACTTATCCACGATGATGTAGAGGATGTCAATCTTGCTCTGCTGACAACACACAGCAAGGAGGTATGGCTGCAGACCCCGTTGGTCCCGGAGATGTTCCTCTGAACTTCAGCATGACTAAAATGAAAGAATACATACACCAAACATAAGAAACCAGACATACGGCCACAACCATTATAAAACTTTAAGGATTCATAAAAACCAATAAAAGAAATTAATATTTTCCCAGACATACTCAAAGCTGCCATTTAATCACCTGCTGAACGTAATGTATATAAAAGCAAAGTGATAAATTACTACACATACTTTTATTTCAATTACCTTATAAAAGACAGCAAGTCTCTCGACTGCATCCCACGCACTGATTCCTGGTGACTTCAGGTGGATTTGGAAGGAGATGTCACCATCCTCAAGTACTCCTCTCTGATTGGTTTAGCAGGAAGATGCCTAACAGGAGATTTCATTTTAGTGAAAAAATTGGGACTTTTTTAAAATAGATTTAGAAGTGCAAAAACACACTTACCTATTTTTATCAATCCTGTGAGCGTCAGTATGTTCACCCCTTGTCTTCTTATGGCATCACTGAGAGTTTCTGTTGTTCCACACTCCTGCAGAACTTCTTCACCACCAGACATCATTTTGTAGGGCACTTCAACCAGCTATGAAATGAAGAATAATTAAACAAAAATAAATACATGGAGAATTTAGATTACCCAAAAATGGCACAACATGTTTAAAGAGTTTAGGGGCACACTGAAATCATGTTACCTTTTTAGCAGACACTCCATTATCAGCATTCTCAGGTTTAGACAAAGCAAAATATAACTTAAGTCAAGTGTTCCAGTCAGTGCGATACTCCTATGTACGTAAGAGGACGTAACACGTCAGCGTTGCTAATTATTAGCCATGTGAATGTACAGGCTGGTAGCATTTAAATTACCATGGCCAAAATTATGATTTTAAATGATAGAAAAATATAACTTTAATTTTCATAAATACACGGCCCGATAATTGTGTGTGTGCGTGTGTGTAACCCTTTTGCTGCTAACAAAAGGGTTAGCAGCAACCCTTTTGTCGGTTGCTGCTAACTAGCAACCCACAAAAGGGCTGCTAGCTAATACATCGAGTATAGCCGTTGCAAAATAGACGAAGTATTAAATTAGTGGAAAAAGTCACATGACTATCAACTTAAAAGCGCTTAACCAAAGATTTAAGAAGTTGTACTTACCGTTTAGAACAACAGGAGAAGAAAAAAGGGAGCGGTTATCAAATTCCGCTCCAAGGAAGACGATGAAGGAGGGAGGAGCTTATTTTCCTCCAATCAGACTGGAAACCATTTAACTCAGCAAATGTTAAAACAACACTTAACGAGTAAAATCAACCCTGATGCAATCAACTATTGGAAATAACTGTAACACTGGGTGCCATTTAACGCCATTTAACGCCATCAAGGGTTAAAACAACTCTTAATGAGTTAAAGTCAACTCTGAAGCCTTTAACCCTGAAATTTTAACTCTTCAGTTTTTGCTGTGCAGTGAAGAGAAACACTTACTCCAGTGCTTTGGCCAGAGAAAGATCAATCAATCAATCAATCAAT